ATGGAATAACTGAGAGTGTCATATGGCACTTCAGTTATAAGTGAGCAATTAATCTTAAGATAAAGTATACTTAGATATCGCTAATACGATCCGTTGTATATTTTTTTTTGCGATAAACAATTAATTTATATCTATAACTTCGTAATATTGGACGCATTAGGTTTTTTTCTGTAAATAAATACCAAAATGGGTACAAGTTTGACAACAGTTTTGATATTTATGACCCTAAATGTGTTATTATTTTGGTTACTCTATGGATTGTTGATGAGATATTTTGGTGAGCACTTTTTTATTTGACAGTTGTAATGTAAAAACATAACCTCCAAAATTGTATAATTAATTTCAAGAATTCCTGTTTTGATAAGAAATATCATAGCCTTGTTCTTGTTTCATTCGATATGTCAGTTGACAATGTTTTCATCTTTATATTGAATCTATAATTCGACATTTTGTGGCGTCATTTGTCAATCAACAAATTTAACACAATCAATCCTTTATTTGTAGACCAGCACAGTGTAAATATATGTCGCTTCATTATCTATATAAAGGACATTTATTTATTTTTTTAATTTACCGCTTTGTCGACATTAGTTCCTACTTTATTTTTACGCGCATCAATCTTAATATATCGTATATAAGTTTTTGAGGTTGATTTCTAAGAAAAAAATCTCTGAATAAAAGATCCCTGTTATTATCTTCGACAAAACAGAGATAGCAATATTTTATAAACAGGGATGTTGGTCTCAGAAACCCATGGTAAGGTTTTTGCTAATCAATTTGTTAAAGCGCCATCTATGAGAAAAACAAAGAAACTTATCAATCAAGTTTCGAAAGTAATTTACATTTTAATATTTTTCTAAGTAAATATCCAATTGATATCTATTTTTTTATCATACTTTTATCGAATAATTATAAAGTTATTTTTCTTGATAAGATTTATTTTTCGTGGATATTGCTTATCGTTTCATGTAGTTCATATATTTTGTTAGAATCGTATAATTATTTCGTGTCTACGTACTGTTGTGCAATAAAGTGAATTAAATACGAAAAATGTATCCATCTTATATGGTTTGGGTGGCGATTTTTATACTGGTTATAGTATTTATTGCGTACAGCCGTTTGAGTAAGTATTTCTCGTTCTTATATTTTGTATAATTCTTTAAAATGTTCATTATCTTACTAATATTATAAATGCGAATGTTTAGATAGATAGATGTTTGTTTGAAGGTTTACAGAACTGCTGAAACTTGCTAAAATTGTGCATAGATGTAGAACATAGTCTGGAAGAACACAAAGGCTACTAATTTAGTCTTTTTTTTAATTTTGCGCGGGCGACAGCTTTATTTATAATTGTCAGTCTTCAATATTCTATACCAAAAGAAACGAAGTAATTACTAAAGTTAATTGAAGGTTAGATTTTGTATTTTATCGTATATTTAGTAACAGTTTTTTGTTTGCTCTTGTTAATTGTTTCCTTGGTTTTATGTGTATTTTTTAGTTTCTTATGTAAATTATTTTGATTAGTGTTTAATTGGAATAAGAAATAAACTATTTTTCTTTGTGAACGATTTATTTCCGCTCTGTCATTTTTTCTTTAATTAATTTTTATAATTCCTTGTCTTTTAATATAATCGTTGTAATGCATGAATTTGAAACGACACACTTTTGAATATTTACCAACTTCTTGTTGATACGCCTGGAATGTTCACGACAGTGCCATCTATCGTCTAAAATCAGTAATTATCAAAAATTTAGTCACGCGTTATCTAATTTTATCAAAGGCAACACATTTTAATATAACAAAGAAGCTTTTTATAACACAATTATTACAATTAATTATTTTAGTTTGATAATATCCATACCTTTCATTACAACATTTTTAATAAGCAAATTATACCTAAAGTTGGATGACGTCATCTCGTCGTACTTATACAATATAAAAATTATAAATCCCTACCTGGAAGTAGTCTAAAAGCTAATGAAAATTGTCTATTTTCGGGGCTAGTTGTAAAACGCTTTATTTAATCATTTCTTTCCAAGCGATTTGGATTATAACGAAGACATAAGAACGCAATAATATTTTAGAATGTCGAGTTTAACAATGCGGGGAAAATAATGCTCTACAGAAAATAGTAACAATTATCATCTTTTAAAATAATCGTTTTGTTTTTTTTTTCAAATTTTTTGTCCAGCGCCATCTATTGTGGAGTAGCGATAACTATTTAAAAAAATGTTTTTCGTAAATTGATATCTAATCATTGTCGTAAAATTTTCGATACACCATTTTATAGATAAT